TTCTCTGCATTGTTTCTAGAATCTCAGCATCTTTTTTATATTATGGTGACCAAATCTGGTTCTAAGGGCATTTTAAAAATGGTACTGACACTTCACATGATCACATGATTTTATGCCTCTGTTAATGCAGCCTAGGACTGTGTTAGCTTTTTGGGCAGCTGCAGCACACTGTTGGCTCATATGATTGTCCACTAGGAATCCGAGATCCTTCTCTAATTGAGCCAGATACCATCTATTCTATATCTGTGCATTGGTTTTTGTTGCCTAAATATAGAACCTTGCTTTTCTCACCATTGGCTTTCATTTCGATAGATAGGGCACACTGTTCAAGTCTGTTAAGATCCTTCTTGTATCTTAAGCCTATCTTTTGAAGTGTTGGCTATTCCTGCCAGCTTGGTGTCTTGCAAATTGGATGAGTTCTTCGCTGTTACTGTATCAACCAATAGCTATCCTGCAATCTTGTTCTGGTTACATATGCCTTCTTGATGGGATTGTGGGACCGAGAAATCCTTCTACAAGGCCATGCAGAACTGTTTGCTCAGCATTTCTCAGACAAAATCACTCAGATTTGTTCTCTGTTGAATGTTGGCCTTGCTACAAGTCTTAGATACCCAGGGCATTGCTGTTTTAAATGGTATCGGTTTGAACATGTTGAACCTGAAGACGTGGACAGGATCATTAGGCCTGTAGGTTGCCCACATGTTTTTTGGATCTTTGCTATCTATTTGGAATAATAGTTGCCCGAAAGGTGTTTTGTGGTTAGGTTCTGGCAATGATGAATTCGTCCCTGAGTGAGAGATTTGTTCCTCCATTGCTGCATCCCACTCGTCAAGAAACTATTTCTGAATCTTACCATACTGAACTTTCTTTGCCTAGCATTTAACCTTCCCTTGTGGGGAAAGCTGATTGAGAATGTAGTTAGGCAGCGGCTTCAGTGATCTCTGGATGAAGCAGATTATTTCAGTTAGAATTTAGGCCTGGAATGGAAATGTTTTTGATCTTTTTTTTAATGATTTCTGATGGTGGTGGGTTAGAGTGTGTGCATCCATTCTTGTTCATCTTGACTTCTCATTGGCTGTCAGTACCGTTCAGTGTCCTTCAGACCAGCTGTAGGAAATGGATGGGGAATCAGTTCTTAAAGGTAGGTGAACTTTGTTTTACTGGTTCTCCTCCTTTTTTCAGCTTCATATGAGTTAATGGTGGTTGGGGAGAAGAGATCCTGTCCTCTGCCACTTCTTTGTGGGATTCCACAGGGTTTTGCACTCCCTTCTTTCCTCTTCATTATTTACCTGAAGCCACTAAGAGGCTAAGAAATGTGGTATCATCAATCTGTTAATGTGTATTTACAACACACTTTTGATTAAGAAATGTTTGTTCTTAAATGCGCATGAAAGGGAATTTTACAGTTCTTAACATAGGCCTGGCCAGGATTTTTATTCATTTTATGATGGGATGGAGGAAATGAGCATTATTTTCTCTTAAGATTAATAATTATTTGAGATCCACTTGCAATTATAACAGTGTTGAACTTTTTCCTATGGTGCCAATTTTCATCTGTATCTTACAAGACTAATATGTCTTGATACACAATACTTAGGAGCAAATACAAAACCTGCTTGGTTATACCAAGTTTTCTACATAATATTTATTAGCTTTCTAGAATGCTATATTTCTTTGGGCTAAGATGAATGTGAGAAACATTTTCAGGGACTAAAGAAAAGCTGGGCATCTAAAATCTTTCCCAATAAGTTTTTTTTTAAAAAAAAAAGTTAGCTTGCTTTCTTTTAGAGATTTACAGTCTTTAATCAACTGTTTTTGTGGCAACCTAAAACTCATTAAAATAAGGCTAGATATATTTTGAGAGTAAAGGCAACCCTTCCATATTTTTCTGAAAATGCTATTGTTTAAATGTCTGTCAGCATTATTAAAAAATTTACACAAGTCAGTCTAAGTTAGTTAAAATTAGATGCAGATTCGACAGAAATGGGGTTGGGCAGAAATGTTTGGAAGCTGATTCATTAGAGCTAGGCCAGGTTCATCTTCTTGCTGTCAGGCCTCTCCTGACTTTCTATTTCTTTATAACAAACTCACTTTGATATTGGTTATCAGTTTTCTCTTTAATCAAACTTTTAAGTCTCATATTTTTGGAATTCTCTCTTCAAAAATACATACTTTTGCTTCTTAAAGGAGAATGAAGATCAATGCTCACCTCTGCTTGTGAAAAAGAAATGGAGCAATAAGGGCAGAGAGATTGACAGGTTTGATCAGTAATTTTTAGTAAAACTCAGATCTTCATAGCAGCCTTCCAGAGACTCATATTGCTCCTATCCTCACATTATGTAAAAAGTAGTTAAATATCTCATTGCTTTACTACTTGGGTAAGGGTATCAAGCTGGTACAGATAGTCTTCAAATTATAATCATTCATTTTTCAACCATTTGAAATTGCAATGGCACTGGAAAAGGTGATTTAAACTTACTTAGACTGTCACAGCATCCCCATGCTTAGCAATTAGCATATATTTACGATGGTTGCAGCATCCCATGATCATGTGATCACCATTTACTACCTTTCCAACCATGCTTCCCACAAACAAAGTCAATGGGTAAAGCCAGATTTGCTTAACAGCTGCATGATTCACTTAATAACTGCAGTGATATGCTTAACAACCATGGTAAAAATAGGTTATAAAAGGTTATAACTGTCTTGCTTAGCAATGGAAATTCTGGCCCCGTCATAACATTATGGACTATCTGTAGTAGCTTTTTTTCTATTCAGTTATAGTGTAAACATGTCTCTGATCTGTTTTCTGTTTGTTTTGTTGTTTTTATATTTTTATTGCTATAAGCTATCCGGTCAACATGGCCTTATAATCTTGATAATCAAGGATGTCATTGTTTGGAAATTTAGCATCCGACTATGATATTACAAGTTTCTGACTTGTCTCATTCCTGACTGCAAGATAAAGGTTTTGTACATCCTGATAATTAAGAAAAAGTTCAGTGTCTCTCATAACAGTTTCTCTTTCTCTAAGCATATGTTGATCTGACCAGTCTGGGAACAGTTTTCATGAAATAATTGTTTTAGTTTATAATAATTTTATTGTATTTTACAAAATATATACATAAAACCATAAACTAATATTAATTAGTGATATAGTTGCTTATTTTTGCATCATATCTATTCACTTGCCCATAAAAAAATTGATTCAAAAGAGTGAAGGAGTTTCATTTTTTTCATCCTGAAAAAGGAACTTAATTAGTTACATAGTAAACCAAATAAAACAATTGTATTTTGATTACTAACTTATATTACTCATGATCTTGCAGAACAGAGTGCAGGAAGCTCTCTAACTATATGAGAAAAAGCAGCTAAACAGTGCAAATCGTATTTAAAGTTCAGAAATTAAAGTTCAGAAAACAATGTACTTTTTTTCTGCTACTGCAGAAGTGGTTGTCATTGCATTTTTTCAGAATGGTTTTCTAATTTCCAGTAAGTCCTTTAGCTCTGATATTCTTTGGAGATCTTTAAGTATTAACCATACCTGACCAGCTTAATTTCCTGGCCCAGGCAAGGCTACCCTATTGCTGCCATGTGCCAAGATGCTGCTAAGTTTCCATAACAAAAATAACAGGACTTGTAGCTTTTAGGAATCACACCTTTTATTACTTACAGCTGTCAAAAAGTTAACTTTTTTTTTGCAAACCTAGATGAGAATAATTTGTAGCTGCTGCTTAATAAGAAAAACTGCATTCAGTGTTCTGTGACTTTTTCAGTATGTATTTTATATACATTGTCTTTCATCCTAACTGAAATTTACTTTTTACTACCGTTGTAATTCTAACACTATATGTGTTCAATAATTAAAAGCTGAATTCTATTGTAAAATGTAATAAAAATGAAAGTGCTGCTGCAAGATCATTATTGTAATTATACTGCAATGACAAATATTACACAGCTGACAAAATTATATTGTTAGTAGCATCATTACAACAGGCCAAAATAGATATTATGTTAGAGTGACCAACAGAGATGTTAAATATATGAAATCAGCTTTGGGATCAATCATTGGTAGTGTTGCCTTTAAACCTGCACTTGAGCCGATAGGACAGATTTAATAGCTTGAGATGGATTGTTTGGGTGAAGCAAAGGAACAGTTTAATCTTTTTCAATAAGGCTATGCAAGACATTTGAAAAAATAAGCTTTACAAAAGATACTACAAAACCAGGTTTTCTCAAAACTTCATAGTAGATACGCTATTTGGAAGAAGTGCAAGGCTGTTTGAAGGCTGCCCCTAGCGATGATGCACAGCTGCTTCACTGTACTTAGAAAAAACAATTGGGGACTGTCTTTGAAACAGACATAACAACTTTCTTAAAAATATAGCTGACAATATTTCAAGGACTGCTGCTTGATAGGCTTGGCTGCCTTTGTAGATATCCAATCATCGAGAACTTACTTTTTTTTTCTTTTCAAAATGGAGAAGAGGGAGGATGCCTAAACCCATCAGTGAAAGCAGTCTGCCAATTGCAATATTACTGTGTTGGGCAGTTGTTTCTCTATTGGCTGATGGTATAAAGGGGAGGATAAAGCAAAGCCGGAGGGTTTGCTTAGTATTTCTTGCACACCCAGAACCAGAATACCACCATTTGCTGGCAAACCAGAATAGAGGTAGGAGAAAAATTTGTGCATTTTCCACCAATATAATTGTTTTCCTATGGTGAACAATTAGATAGAATTTTGTATTGCTGTATTGCTTTTATTTTCTTTTATATTTCATATTGTCTATACATTGTGGTAAATTATGCATTTTATAAACATTATTGTCAGAACTATTGTTGATTGGGTACAGTTAATTAATTTTTGCGAAGTAACTTATCATATTTTTGAACATTTTATTCAACTATGGAATAATCCTATTTTGCATCTGTGAATACACCAAACAGATATTAAGTCAAATACTTATTATTTGACTTATTTTATTTTTCCCCCCCTACAGTTGCATTGAAATCAAGGAGTCCAGCAAAGCCTGAAAGAAATAGCATGCAGGACAGCAACAGCACCATGCAGACCAGAGGGAGAATGCATATGCTAGAAGGTGAACTTTTGCTGCAGGTAATTATCATCATTACTTTAAATATTTCAAAGGAATTCCTTATAGCAAGGTACAAAGAAACTTTTTTATTGTAAAATGCCTTAGGTCTGCCCAGTTATTTTATTAATATATTTTTTGGAGTGTCCTTGGAGGTTTTCTTCTTTTTTTGTTATTGCTTTTTCTTGCCTTTTTCTTTTGTTTTCCTACTTCAGTAAAAGGACTCACTTCACAAGTTTCATGGACTTCTCTGTTGCTAATCTCTTAACATAATTGCTTGCTATTTGAGGTAGAGTTATAGAATCACCCATTGTGGAGATTCTTCACAGGTCTTGGTTGTCCAATGTGCTTTTCCAAAAAGCAACTGCACTTTTTTTTTCTTTGAAATCATTTCACTTCTCTTTCAAGAAACTTCTTCAGTTCTTTAGAACAGAAGAAACTTCTTGTATGAGAAGCAAAATGTTTTCAAAGGGGGAAAAAACCTCAAGAAAGTCCAGTTGCCTTTTGGAAAAGTACCTTTGGGAATCATCCATCATTTCTCCACTGGTTTAACAGGACAGCATTCTCTTTCCCAGCCCAGATTATAGTAGTAAATGATTTATAAATAAATAAATTTTGCCTGGCAATTAAACAAATGTTAGATAATAGCTTGGTTGCAATTCTTCTGGCAACAAATCACAGTTCTTTCCCTAATAGCTCAAACTAAGGGACATTCTTATTTTGTGCAATGTATGAATCCACCCACTGTTAAGTTTTATATATGAACTAGCACACTGGTTTTCTGAAAATCTATGATTGAAAAATCTTGCTTTAGTGCAGTTTAGCCACTGTATGTCAGTGGCTAAAAAATTAGTCTCTATTTGAATCCTTCTGGTTGCCTATCAGGTTTTGCCTTTATATTTAACTCTTGTATCAGTGTTAAAAAATGCCTCTCAAAACATAAAGTTTTTCTTTTCAGATTATTTTTTCTATTTCATCCCCTAGGTCCCTTAAAAAACTATTCATAAAAACCAGTGTGCTTTCTAAAGTGTTACTTTAAAGTAAAAGGTTTGAACTGGAAAGAAAATTCTACTGCTTTGTGGAAATATTTTAGTATTTATTAGATTTTCATATGAATTCCAATCTTAATGTTAGGGTTTAAAATGTTTATTACCAGTTCTTATAACTGTATTTTTAATCAATCAATCAATCTCTCTCTCTCTCTCTCTCTCTCTCTCTCTCTCTCTCTCTCTCTCTCTCTCTCTCTCTCTGTGTGTGTGTGTGTGTGTGTGTGTATGTGTATAAAAAATTCAGTGGGTGTGTTCACAAAATGTTGTTAAGATTAGTATATCACACTATGGCTATTTTGTGTACTAGTAAATTATTTGACTTATTTAAAATCCTTTTAAAACCAATGTTTTTTTGTTTTGTTTTTTAAACCATGTTGTTGTTGTCTTCAGGCATTAAATGGCTTTGTGGTAGTGGTCACATCAGATGCCCACATATTTTATGTGTCTTCTACAATCCAGGATTATTTGGGCTTCCAGCAGGTATGCACTTTAATTCTAGATTTTTTTAAAAAAAACCCATATTATTACTATATTATCATTATTTAGTGAAATGCAACTTTTTAAATATTATTTTCTTGGTTCATTGAAGGAATAGTGCAGTGTATAAACAATCTAGGAAGTTCTTGTAAGTCTCATTTAAAGAAAACTATTAATTTTTTCTCTCTATTCAAACTGTTTTTTTTCCAGAGCTGTTAACTTCTTAGAGCATAGTAAGTTAAGGTTTGTCCTCAGTATATGTCTCTCCCTAAGGTTATCTACTGCTTGCATAGATAACAAGCATTCAAATGAATATAAGAGTCCTTAATAATTAAATGTTATTAAAAAGGCAACATGGTGGCTTAAATATATATTAAAGTTCTTAAACTACCAAATAAATGTAACTTTATTTAGATTATTCAGACTACAGATTCATCCACATTCTGTAGATGAATGGGCTAGCAATAGATACATTTCCCATGTTCACATTAGTTCTAAAGAGACACATTCCAGACTTCTTTCTGTTCCACATACTTCTAGTTATCAATTGAAGAGAATATCTGGAGTTCATATTTGAACTGTGGTATCCTTGGGGTTCTTTGAGCTTGGTTGTTTTGGCTACAGAGATTGGTTGTTTTCTTGCATACAATGAAATGTCTGCAAAAAAACAACCAAGCTGAGAAGGCACCAAGGACTCCATATTTCTAGATTCTAGATGTTTAGTCTATCCTATGCTTAGTCTACCCTTTCTTCGCTAGTAGTATTGTTCCAAAATGATTTTTTAAAAATCTTTAACTTATTCAGTAGGTTTTTATGCAAATAATTTTTCAGTTACACTGAGATAAACTGTAGCACTTATTCTAGTAATCAGATTTGATGAATAAAATGCCTGAAATATTTTTATTACTATTTCTTTGATGTAGTCTGACATTATACACCAGTGTGTATTTGAATTAATTCACACAGAAGATAGACCAGAATTCCAGCGTCAGATTCACTGGGCTCTTAATCCTTTACAGTCCACAGATTCTGGACAGATAATGCAAGGTGAGGATCTAATAGTTGCAAGTAATTACATATGCTTCAATGAAAGATAATCAGTTTAAAATTTGCAGATAACTGAAGAAGTACTTCATAATGCATTTGCTACTTTACATTAGAGGACTACATCTATATAACAATGCCCTTAATTTTATGCATCTGTCAGTTTTTAAAGGAAAATTTAAAAAATTGCAATCCCTTTAAGAAGAAGCATAATCTGGAATGAATAGAAGAAATAGCTACCATTTATTTTTTTAAATACATGTCAATTGTATAGAATATATAGTTTACTTTGCTGATAAATATTTGATACATTAAATTTAATTTATTCAGACAATAATTATAAATTAGAATTGATTTTCCATATGATTAATGTGAGATGGGTAGGTAAGTAGGCAGGTAGGCAGGTAGGTAGGTAGGTAGGTAGATAGATAGATAGATAGATAGATAGATAGATAGATAGATAGATAGATAGATAGATAGATTGATTGATTGGTTTGTATATTTAAAAGTAAGTAATGTTGAAAACAGAAACAACCAACTGTGGGAAAACAATAGAAATTTTCTGTTATGAACAAAAGATTTCATGTGTTTTCAGGAAAGAAAATCTGAGGGAAAAAAGTCTAAAAATACATACCTTGCCACATAAAACTTAATCTCATTTTCTGAAGTTTGAAATATTATCACTAGTAACAGCTATGCATGTTACAGAAATAAAATGTCACAGTTAAATAATAATAAATTAATTGAATGCAACAGTATTAATATTTCACTTAATTGTTCTTCACTCACTTTTTGTTGTTTTATCCCTTTTTGTTTGCTTCATCCCTATTTCATCCGTTAGCATGCTATTCAAAGACTGGTTAGGCAAAGATTCCCTTAAACTGCAAGTTCTGTAATTCAGATCTTCTTCAAAGAGGATCTAAGGTTATATTTTCCCCTATAGGAGATAATGGCTTTCAACAATCAGCAACATATTACAACCCTGAACAGCTACCTCCAGAGAATTCGTCCTTCATGGAGCGAAATTTCATTTGTAGGTTACGCTGTCTCTTGGATAATTCATCTGGATTTTTGGTGGGTACAGAAATATGTGATTTAAATGAATGATTTAATTTCTCATGATGGCTATGCTCTATGGCAAATCTTTGGCTTATATCCTCTGCACCACACCTTCCTTATCCCATGCATATAAAACCCTGTTGCCACAAAAACAATACGTAATATTGTGCTAATTAAGCAATAAGATTGTGTTGACCACAAACAATAAGTGAAAATTTATCCCATACTGATTAAAAGTAGCTAAATTTGGTAGGTGTTATTATGCCTCACGTTATTATGCTGCAGTTTGGGTAAAGTATAATTTGATGTGTTTCATAAGAAATCTGCAGTTGTGGCATTCTACTAGCAGAAATGTTATGTTGATAAGGGTTTGAAATTGAAAAAAACATTCCATTATAGAGAGGTATTAGAACTCATAAAAGTTCTTGTTCTATCAATTTTCCCTTATTCCCAGAAAAGTAAATGGAACTGATGAGGGCAGGCAATCTACAGAAAATTTGCAAGAAGATTTTTGAAAGAATTCTGAAAATATATTTCCAAATAGCGTAGGAAATAATATAAATCAAATATACATGCATTCTGAATGCAAGAAGGATTCCCTTGATCTTTTGCATTATTAATTTGGCCTGTATTACCAGGAAATAAGAGCAATAATTAATCAGATTCACTTCTACATAGCAAAGCAATGAATAGCAAAGCAAAGGAAAATAGCCAAAACATTACAAAGGTTACTAAAACATTACTAAGTTCTAGAATGCACACATTGCAATGAATCTTCAATATCTGGAAAAGAATAAACAGAAGACAGACAATACCATTACATTAACTCATAAATTAAACTTTATATTTTTCCATAGTAAAATGTTTAGACGTAGCAATATCCCACTTATTAAGCAGGCAAGAATGAATTTTCTTAAATCAAAATAGTTTTAATTACTGTTAATTTCCTACCCTGAATTTACTACTTTTGTAAGTAAATTAAGGTAATGAACATACATAACACTCCTTTCTCCTCCTATTTTCCCCACAACAACAACCCTATGAGGTGGGTTGGGCTGAGAGAGAGTGATTGTCCCAAAGTCATCCAGCCGGCTTTCATGCCTAAAGTAGGATTGGAACTACACTTTCCTGGTTTATCCTGGTGCTTGAACACTAGACCACACTGGATCTAAATTTTTGGCTTTAGGATAATTACATGGTATCTATCTTAAAACATATCCCTTAGCAGTTCACAAGAAGCCCTTTATTTTATGGATATCATAACACATTCTATAAGAATATGAGGAAGACCAGAGTTCCAGTAAAAAAAGATGGTGTGCTTATGTCTCTCCTTCAAATAATGCCATTTCTTCAATATGCATAATGATCACAGTAGGAGATTGGAGTGCAGTCCTTTGTCAACTGAATAGCTTCCAGTAGTTAAACATGTTTCTACTTGTTCACCTCGGAGCCCTTGCACATATGCCTAATAATCTTGGATTTTTTAAGGCTATTTCATTGCCACACGTAATGAAAAAGAAAGCTTGGGATAACCATAAAAGTTCCTTAGTTATTATTCTGAGGCAAACCTTTAAATGTCACATGACTGAAAAGTAACTCCATGAGTTTGAAGGACCCAAGTCCTTTCTCTGTCTTTACTATCATTTCTGTCTTGATATAATAGAAAAGAAAATGGTCAGATTTTAAACTGCGTTTGAAACACTGCTTTATACCATAACATTGAAAAGAAAAGAAAAGAAAACCCTGCTTATCTTGAATAAAGATTTCAGCAAACAGGTTGCTTGAGTTTTTGTATTTGACCTGCAGTCAGAAAATATCACAAAGTATTTTAATTTTGAGTAATAATAGTGTATCAAGAAATGTTAACATTGATACAAATAGTCCTGGATTTAACGACCACAACTGAGCCCAAAATTTCCATTGGTAAACAAGACAGTTGTTAAGTGAGTTTTGCTCCATTTTACAACCTTTCTTAAAATAGTTGTTAAATGAATTACAACAGTTATTAAATTAATAACATGGTAGTTCTGTATTTCCCTTGTCAGAAGGTCGTAAAAGTGACCACGTCACCCTGGAATACTGAAACTGTAATAAATATATGCCAGTTGCCAAGCGATTGAATTTTGATCATGTGACCACAGAAATATCGTTAAGCAAATCACAATTGTTAAGTGAATCATGCAGTTATTAAATGACTCTGGCTTCCTCCATTGACTTTGCTTATGGCTGGGAAGGTTACAAATGGTGATCACATGACCTCAGGACAGTACAGCCATCATAAATAATACGCCAGTTGTCAAGCGTCCAAATTTTGATCACATGACCATAATAACTCTGCAGTGGTCGTAAGTGTGAAAAACAGTTATAAGCCACTTTTTTCAGCACCATTGTGACTTCGTGATTAAACAGATGACTGTTAAGTCCAGAACTTCCTGTAATAAGTGAATTCCATATTTTTCTTTCATGTTCTTTTTAACTCTAGTTGCCTTTTGTGAAGAGTTAAATATGGATTAAAACTAAAAATATGATTATAGCTTTGTTCTTTCTTCTAAAGGCTATGAATTTTCAAGGGAGATTAAAGTTTCTCCATGGTCAGAACAAGAAAGGGAAAGATGGAACTGTTATATCACCTCAGCTGGCTTTGTTTGCAGTGGCTACTCCACTTCAGCCACCTTCCATTCTTGAAATTCGTACAAAGAATTTTATTTTCAGAACCAAACATAAGCTGGACTTCACACCAACCGGATGTGATGCAAAGTAAGTTAAAAAAAAATAATGAATATTGTTGTGCGTGTATGCTATAATTTAAAAGAATAATTGCTAAGACTAATCATAATTCACTGATACTTTTCAAAGAATAGATTTTAGCCATATATTTAGGAAGGTAGCTGTATTTAGATAGGTTATTTTTCTAACAACCGTTAACAAAATCCTCTAAATTATGTTAAATTCAGTTTTCTGCTTCACATTACTATTTTGTTTGTTTATTTATTTAATATTCACCTTACTTTTCTCCAGAAAGTACTTCCAGACAATTTCAACATCAATCACAAAAGTAGGATAGTTATATTCTTAAAGCTTTTCTTGGGGATTCTGAAAGGTGCGTCCCTTTTAGAATTGCCTCTTGAGCATTACTAAAAGGGAGGACAGCATTATTTGTAACATCCTCCCACCAAGAAGCTGTTCCGCTTCTGGGAGTAAGTAAAACAGTTGTCTTAATCTCTGCTTAGAAGGTGACCTGCCCCAGAACAATTTTTTCTTTTCCCCCCAAGGTTCAGAGAAGTCATAAATCCTGGTCAGAACAACCCCTGCTAATTCTGTACAGTTCAAGGACTGATATCTTGAGATAGCAACTGCAGACAGACAGACCATTTTACTTTTTCCCATTATTTAAACAGATGCTCTGACATTTCCACTTGTGCTGTTGTGAAGAACAGTTGTAGTAATGTTCTTGTTTGTAGCTGATCTTTCCAATTGATCTATTGAATACTGATACTGAGGATGTGGTTAGTATTTTTTTTTCTCTGAGTGACTGATAAAAAAATTGTGTCAAATATATCTTGCAGGGGAAGACTTGTGCTAGGTTACACTGAGGCAGAACTTTGCATGAGAGGAACAGGATACCAGTTTATCCATGCAGCCGATATGCTTTATTGTGCTGAGAACCATGTCAGAAGTAAGAGATATATCTTGATGAAGTCTTGATGAGGAGAGAAATAAGTGCCAGAATAAGTTTCTAAGTATATCCTAACATACATTTATTTTATTTTATTTTATTTTCTAACTTTCCTTTAGACCTCTCCTTTTTTTAACTAAATATACATTTATATTGGACGAAGCAATATTTTAATATGCCCATGTGAATTATTTTTATTGAACCTACATTTTGCTTGAACCTACATGTTCTGGTCACATCCCACTCTTTCTTTCTGCTATTAGAAAGATTTTCAGCTAGAATATTATTTCAAAGCATTTTTCCAAAGGCAAAATTTAGAATGTTTTGCTGTATTTTGCTCTATTTAAATATTTTTAAATCAACATTTTATGTTGATTGATAGAACTTCTACTAAAAATGTTTTATCAGAGATGTTATTTCCTTTTCCTTAGTGCAAGTAGTGTCATGGTGTTATATTTGTTCTGAGAAGCAGCTCTCTGTTTCACCAATACAGAACAGCAAGTAAAATACATCTTTACCCTATTTAAATATTGCTCCTCTAATAAGTGGTGGACAATATTGATAATCAATCTACATTAGTTGATCTGTTGGGTTCCAGAACTGTTGTAGGTAATTATTAGGATATTTTAAGAGTGTTAAGAGCTTCAACTACTTTGTTTTCATCAAGTTATGGTTTATTTCAGCTGCTTAAGAATTTGATGAAAATATACTAATAAATCTGAATGTTAAATTTAATTAAATTAATTGAAATATTTCTGTATTTATTTTTAGTGATAAAAACTGGAGAGAGTGGTATGACAGTGTTTAGACTTCTTACCAAGGAAAATCGATGGGCCTGGGTTCAAGCAAATGCTCGCCTAGTTTATAAAAATGGAAGACCAGATTATATCATTGCCACACAGAGACCTCTTACGTAAGTAGCCTCCAAAGAAGTTTATAACTACCAACTCCTAAATCAATAAAGCAGCATATAGTAAAATATATCAGGGCTGACTTCTTTTCCTTATTATTTCAAAAAGATGTATTTGGTGATGAAGAGTCCAAAATGTTTATAATTCATATAATTTATATGGTTTGTTTTAAAGTAAATAATCTGAAATATGTACTGCTGAAAAATCATAGTATCGCCTTTAAATTTTAATTATATGAGCTTAAAATTTTATGGGGACTGCAGAGTGGGGGGGTGGAATGCTATATGTGAGTCAGTGTTACCAATCTTACTGGAATAAACTTTGCTATATAACAAAAAATAAATAAATACTAATTAATTACTATTTACAAATTACAGTTGTCCTTAACAAAAGGTAAAAATAAAATAACTAGTATTACAATGATATCTGAACCCCAAGGTAAGTTGTGTCATTCGACAATGTATGTCATGGAAGAAAGTATGTTAAATGATCCGTGATATTTTGAGGAAAGTGAACTCCTTAAGGTTATTAAACTTGATTCATGGTAGTTTACTCTAACATCTGGGGTTGCCACAAAGAAGAGGGAGTCAAACTATTCTCCAAAGCACCTGAAGACAAGACAAGAAGCAACAGGTGGAAACTAATCAAAGAGAGAAGCAACCTAGAACTAAGGAGAAACTGCCTGACAGTTAGAACAATTAATCAGTGGAACAACCTGCCTCCAGAAGCTGTGAATGCACCAACACTGGAGGTTTTTAAGAAGAGGGTGGACAGCCATTTGTCTGAAATGGTATAAGGTTTCCTGCCTGAGCAGGGGGTTGGACTCGATGACCTCCAAGGTCCCTTCCAACTTTATTATTATTATTATTATTATGGATCATCGCACAGTCAGCCAGATGTTCAGACTGGATTTGGCATTTTGTCTACCTATTGATTCCTTACCCAGGACCTGGGATAGGCAGATGTGGATGTTTGATGGTATTACAGATATCGTCGCAGGATGGAAGCAGTTCCTAGTAAGGTCGCCTTTTGCAATTGACTAATAGCGAATTTGTCAATGCCAATGGTGTTCAAGTGGTGCTCCAGTTGTTTTGGGATTGCACCCAAGGAGCCTATGACTATTGGTACTACCCGTGCTTGCTTTTGCCACAGTCTTTCTATTTCTATTTGTAGGTCTTTGTATTTTGTTATCTTCTCCAGTTCTTTCTCGTCTATTCTGCTGTCTCCAGGCACTGCCATGTCCACTATCCAGACTTTTTTGTCTTTCTTATCGACAATTGTTAGGTCTGGGGAGTTATGTTGCAGGTGCTTGTCTGTTTGAATTCTGAAGTCCCAGAGCAGTTTAATTTTATCATTTTCTATGACTTTCTCTATTTTATGATCCCACCGGTTTTCACTTACAGGCAAATGATATTTTTTGCAGCTCTTCCAATGCACCATTGTTGCTACTTTGTCATGCCGCTGCTTGTAGTCAGTCTTCTTGCAACAGCTTACCAGGTGGTCCACTGTTTCTTCAGCTTCTTTGCATAGGTGGCACTTACTGTCTGTTGCTGTCTTTTCAATTTTGACTTTATATGCGTTTGTCCTTAAGGCTTGGTCTTGTGTAGCCAGAATTAGTCCCTCGGTCTCTTTCTTCAATTTTCCTTCTCTTAGCCATTGCCAGGTCTTATTATTATCTGCTTTCCCAGCAACCGTATATGCTGGCGTATTAGGCGACCTGGCGTATAAGACGACCCCCGTCTTTATAGCCGGGCCGCATTCCTAGAACGTCGTCTTATACGCCGGAAACTACCAGTATTTCCGGCGTATAAGACGACTTGGCGTATAAGACGACCCCCGTCTTTGGCGCCGATTTCAGCGCTCGCGGAAGTCGTCTTATACGCCGGCATTTACGGTATTTTTTTTAACATACTGGCCATATAGTGCTTTGTCTTCCCATGCCTCTATTCTGTTCTTCATTTGGTCTTTCTTGTAGGCCAGTTTGGTCTCTCCAGTAGTCAGTAAGCCTTCCTGATATACTAATTTCACTGCATCTTCATTATTATTATTATTATTATTATTCACATAACTCCTTATGGTTGCAATCTTTTTTATACTCTTTTAAGTAAATGAAATAATGATTTGTGGCTGTTTGTTTCAAAAAAATCCCCACTACTATTTTATGTTTTTAGATTTGAAACAAAAACGCCTCATAGAATCCAAATGTTTTAGAATGAATCATTAAAGGAATCCTTTGTATAATAAAGAGGTTGGAATAAAACTTAATAAAAATATTAATAGAAGCATCCACAATAAATGTTGATAAAATAGTAAAAATAGAAAACAGGATATGCACAAATTATAAATATGCTCAGTCATTTCCCCTTTTTGAATATTAATCCACTTATATAGATTTTTTAAAAAATCTCTGTGATAGTATTGGAGGAAGAGGAATCATCATGTAGAACAAACAAGTAAACAAAAAACCCCAAACATTGTAAGCTTGATTTATAAAATAAAAAAGCAAATAAACTTGCTTTGGGAATACAATTCTTGTATGATTGCAAAGAATTATACAGTGATCAATTTAATGATGCATCTCCCCTATCCTGCTAGTGTTATTTTTACTAGTTTACATTTCTTATGTATTCATATTTGTAGCTTCTGCATAAAATTCTGTAAGCTCCTATACAATGTAGACATAGTTAAAATTCATTTTAATAATCTAAAAATAATAGATTATATTCTATTAATCTAGATTTTCTATTAGATTATTTCTATGCATATTTCACTGCATATTTCAAATTGAAATTCAATTAATTTTCTTCTCTTTGTGTTTTACAATTCAGAGATGAAGAGGGAGCAGAGCATTTACGAAAACGCAATATGAAACTGCCTTTCATGTTTGCTACAGGTGAGGCTGTGTTGTATGAAGTAGCATTTCCTCAGCCTGGTATAATGGATTCATCTCAGACAAAGATTAGAAGTGGTGTTGGAAAAGGAATTGCTTCCAAGGCTGTACTGTGTAAAGAATCTGTTGATCCCAATTCACTTTTAGGAGCAATGTTACAGCAGGATGAATCAGTTTATCTTTGCCCACCTGCTTCAAATAAAATCTCTCTTGAGAGGGACTTTTTTGCAGATAGTAGAGGTGAACTGAGCAGCATGATGGCCAGAAATTGGCAGGATGCTCTTTTATCAGTAGGGAATAATAGCATCCTCAAACAGGAGCTGACTGACTGTCCTCAAGATAGTAACTTGATGGTTCCCGAAGAAAATGTAGGGCTTTTTCAGGATAACAAAAATAGTGAATTGTTCAATATCATGAATATGCTTGAGGCTGACTTTGATGATATAGACTTTAGTTTTCAGCAGGACGAGGAGTTTTTTAAGAATGATTTTGCTGGTGTGGATGACATTAGAGACTTTGACGTAACTGATGAAATCTTGACCTATGTTCAGGAGTCTTTAAATAAGACAGATGTCTTGTATTCAAGTTGCCAGCAGCAGGAGCCCATATTTCAGAATTCTGCTTGTTTAATGCAGCAGCAAATAAATCAACAGCAGGTATCAACAGTGATGGAACAGCAGCTGCCACAGCAACAGCAACTGTGCCAGAAGATGAAGCACATGCAGGTCAATGGTATGTTCACAAACTGGAACTCTCTCAGCAGCACAAGTCTTAACACTTCACAACAGCAGATGCAACCATTTAATTTTTCTGACATACAAGAAATAACTCAGGAGTTTCCTTACAAATCTGAAGATAGTACAGCATCATATGCCTGTAGAGAGGAATATACTCCATACAAGCAACCTACCAGCACGATGTCCCAATTCACAGATTTTACAGAGGTAGACTTTTTCACTGAAAACTTTAATCTATCTACTTTTTCAAGTTCTTCTGATTTAGATTTTCTCAACTGTTTTCAAGTCCCTGAAAGTCAGTCTTGTGAGCAGAACTCTCAGCAAGTTACAGAAGCTTCGGAGACATGCTATGCTGGTGCTTTGTCAATGTATCAGTGTGTGTCTGAAACCCAGTCAAACGGCTCAGATCAAATGCAGTATGATCCTGTATTATTGGAACAACAGCCATCAAACAAGGTATGGAACTAATACTTTTAAAACAGTCTTGTAGAATTTTTGACATGTACGTGTATTCACTGCTATAGTAAGCCAAAATATAGAGAATTCGAGTTTATCTTTTGAATATTCTTCTTCTATTATTTGGCCAGAAACTAACAGGGATAAAATATATTCAAACTAGGACTCCTGAACAATCAAGGTTCTCTTCTGATTCCTGACTACGTGGGAGTAATAGGTCAGCAATCCTGTCAGATTTCTGAAAATCCTAACCATTCTAAATCTTTTTTTTTATTGAAAAGTTTTACAAAAATTACAAAATATACCCCAAACCCACCCCCACCCCTCCCCTACTTCCCAGAGCTGAATACAGGGTAACAAATATAATAATCATAATCTAACTAACATTAACCAACTATGTAGATAAACAAATATAATGCACTTTAACTCTCTTTTAACACAGAATAAACAATTTACAAATAAACTTTATCATATAATCAAATTAAAATCCCAATTTATAAACAATACAATATAATAAAAATTCCACTACACTAAACTATTAATAATAATAATAACAATAATAATATTCAATAATTTATTCATAAAATAAATGGAACTTTTTAGTCCCATATTTATTCTGAATATAATCTATCCATCTTCTCCAGACCGAAATGTATCTTTCTTGTGAATAATCCTTCAAATAAGCAGAAATCTTAGCCATTTCTGCTAAATTTGACACTTTAAGCATCCCTTCTTCTATAGTTGGCAAACAATCCTTCTTCCAATATTGCCCTACCAACAGCCTTGCTGCTGTTGTTAAATTCAACATCAAATTAGTTTCCTTAACATCAAAATCTACAATAATACCCAACAAAAATAATTGAGGAGTAAACTTTATCTTTCTTTTAAAAATATTCTGAATGATCCACCAAATTTTAATCCAAAAAGCTTTTACATTTCTACTAGTCCACCAAATATGAAAATAAGTTGCATGCAAACTCCCATATCTCAAACATTTGGGCTGTAAGTTAGGATACATACAAGACAACTTTTGGGGATCCAAATGCCACCTATAAAACATTTTATAAAAATTTTCTCTCAAATTTTGAGCTTCAGTAAATTTTACATTTCTAACCCAAATTGTCTCCCACGGATCCAATAGAATCGGCTCTTGAATATTTTGTGCCCATTTTACCATACAATCTTTAACTAATTCTGTTTCAGAATCCAATTCTATTAAGACATTATAAATTCAAAGTTTGATCTTTAATCTGTTTTATCAAATTTGCTCACTCTAAAGTAATGCCAACCTTTTGATCTAAACTCCACCTAACTAACAATTGATTATACTGAAACCAAGAGTGTACAATATTTTCTTGCTTCAAGTCAGCTAAAGATTTTAATAGCCAATCCTTCTCTACCAAATCAAGTAATTCCTTATAAGAAATCCTATCCAAATTCACTCCTCTAGTTACCCCCTCTATCACGTGTCCAGGAATCCCCCGAATTGGAATTTTATAATTTAACCTATAATAATACTTCTTCCAAACACGTAATAAAACATTTTTTAAAATGTGAGATTTAAAAGCCTGATCTACTTTTTTATTATAAATTAAATATGCGTGCCATCCATATAATAAATCCCATCCTTCAAGAGAAAGAATATTTTTGTTTGTTAAGTTGAGCCAATCACTAATCAATGTTAAAGACGCCGCATCATAATACAATTTTAAATTAGGCACCTTGAGTCCTCCTCTTTCCTGTGCATCTTGTATAATCTTAAACTTAACTCTTGGTTTTTTACCTGCCCAAATAAACTTGTTAATCCCTTTCTGCCATTCCTCCAAATTAGCATCTTTTTTCAAAATAGGTATCATTTGAAACAAAAAAGAGAAACTTTGGAAGAATATTCATTTTGACTGCCAAGATTCTCCCCAGTAAAGATAACTGTAATTTTTTCCAATCATTTAAATCCTTTTGCAGTTTTACCCATAATGTCTCATAGTTATTCTTATACAATTTAACATTAGAAGCTGTAATATATACTCCCAAATATTTAACCTTTCTCACTATTTCATAACCTATTAGTTTAACTAAAATCTCCTTTTCTTTCATAGACATATTTTTCGTTAATATTTTAGTCTTATTTTTATTTACTTTAAACCCAGAAACCTTCTTATACTGGGTTATAATTTCCACCAAATCTCTTACCGACTCTGTCGGTTGAGATAATGTCGCAGCCAAATCATCTGCGAAAGCTCTCAACCTATAATCATTCTTATTTATTTTTATTCCCTTTATTATAGAAGATTCTCTAATTTTAATAAATAAAATCTCCATTGTTAAAACAAATAACAATGGAGATAAAGGACATCCCTGTCTTGTTCCCTTTTCAATTTTAAATGCTTCTGTTAATCCCCCATTGATTATAATTTGTGCTGATTGTTGTTGATATATAGCTTAAAAGCACACAAATTTTTTTCCCCAAAATTCATTTTCTCTACAACTTTCAATAAAAATTGTCAATCCAACTGATCAGAAGCTTTTTCAGCATCCAAAAATATCAAAGCCGCAGGAATTTGATTGTTCTTATCCAAATACTCTATTAAGTTTACAATTTGTCTTACATTATGTTTCATATATCTTCCAGTTATAAATCCAAATTGATCACTATGAACCAATTGCCTCAAAACTTGCATTAATCTATTTACCAATATTTTTGAAAAAAATCTTATAATCTATATTCAAAAGAGATATTGGTCTATAATTTTTAGGCTGAGTCAAATCTTGATCCTCCTTTAGGATCAACGTTATAAAACCCTTCTCCAAGATGGAGATACCTCTGCTCCCAACAAAATACTGTTAAAAAGTTCCTTCAATGGTTCTATCATTTCTTCCGATAACATTTTGTAATAAATTGCTGTTAATCCATCTGTACCCGGAGCCTTACCAACCTTCAATTGCCCAAATGATCTCCTCAGAAGTAACTAAACAATTCATCCCATCTCGTTGATCATTTGTGAGTCTAGGAAAATGTGCCACTTGTAAATACTTTTCTATATCTAAAACTTGTAAACTCTCACTGGCATATAACTTTGAATAAAAATCTAAAAAAACTCCTTTTAATCAAATTTTGTTGATATACTTCTTTACCTTTATAATTTATTTTCTCTATAATCCTAGACTTATGTTTCTTTCGTAATTGATAAGCCAACCACCTACCAGGTTTATTTGCATTACAAAATGTATTATGTTTCATGTACCACAAATTAATTGCAATCTGATCAGCCATTAACATTAAATTGCTCCCTAAGCATAGTTATAGAAACCTTTAAGCTATTATCCAATGGATTTAAAATAAGAGCCTTTTCTTTAAGTTTAATCTCTTCTTACAGCTCTTTACATTCCTGCATTTGTTTACGCCTGTATGCATTATTCATATGAATCAAAAAAACCCTCATATATGCTTTACTCGCATCCCAAACCATTGGCATCGAAGTACCCTTATGCATATTCAAAGAAAAAATTCCTTCAAATATTCTCTACATTTCTGTAAATTCATATCTAAATAGATTTTCATTCAGTCTCCAAGTCCTTCTATTCCCATCTTCAGTAGATATTTCCATTCATACAGGACTATGGTCTGACAATATTCTAGGGAGTATCTTAGCATTCTTCACCCTAGAAAAAAGATCATTAGTAATTAAGAAAAAATCAATTCTAGAATACAATTGATGCCTATCTGAAAAAAAAGTGAAGTCTCTTTCTTCAATATTTCATGCTCGCCAGATGTCTCTAAGATCCAAATCATCCTTCAAATCAAAAAAAGCTTTGGGTAATTTAGCATGATTAGAAGATTTAAAAGAACCCTTCTTGTCTTTGCTGGAATCTAAAACACCATTCCAATCACCCATCAAAATAACAGATTTATAATCAAATTGAATTAGTTTCTGATGTATCAATTTATAAAACTGTTTTTGTTGTTGATTAGGGACATATAATCCAATGATAAGACATCTCTTGCCATTTAATAATAAATCAATAAAAAGATACCTTCCTTGCGGATCAGAGTCAGTTAATTTCAGTGATAAATCTTTTCTCACATAAATAACTACTACTCCTTTTTTCTGCGGAGCAGAAGCTATAAAATGTGATCCCAACCTGGGGTTAATCAAATACTTTTGATCCTTGGAAGCAATATGAGTCTCTTGCAAACCTACTACATCATTCTTATGTTGTTTCAAATAGTGAAGTTCTTTTCTGTGGTGAATTCAAACCATTAACATTCCATGTCAGAAACTTTGTCATCTTTAATGGCCTGAAGGCTCCGGAACACTGCATGCAAATCTGCAGTCGAAGATCTCTTTGTCTTGTCCCTCCCACTGGCTCTGAGGTAGACAAATGTATTGTAGATCCATCATCCAATATTTGCTGCTCTTTTTCTTTATGTCTGTGAGCTGCACGAGTCATTCTCTGTTTCTTGGATCATCTCTTGTCTCCAAACACTGTTGCATGGATTCAACTGCAATTCTCCTCCTACTAATGACATTGCACCTTCAGCCAGCTGTACTTCAAGCTTCCCTTTAATTCTTTTAGATCATGGAGATGGAGGTGCACCTGCCTTCAGAACTGACACATAGAAATCTCTTGCTTTTAAAATTGTGTTAAGTCTATAACGTGTCCTAACATAATTCACTACTATTCCAACAGGTACCTCCCATCTAAACTGAATCTGTTGTTTTTTAAGCACCTCAGCCAAAAAAGCAAAGTCCTTTCTTTTTCTAAGAATTTTTGGAGGTATTTCTTTTAAAATTATAACATCTTGAGCTGCAGTTTGAAATCTCTGATTATAAAAGACTTGTATAATTTCATTACGAAGTGATTTTCTAGAAAAATAAATCTCCACATCTCTTGGTAAATTTCTCTGTTTGGCAATCCATGAGTTAACCCTGAAGATTTTTTCTATCTCTTTCAACATTTCTTCAGATTCACATCCCAAAATGGAGGCTAATTCTGCTGCAATTTCTTCTTTCAGATTCTCTTGCAAATTCTCCTTCAACCCTCTTATTCGCAAAGCATATTCCATATCTCTATATTGTGACATAATAATTTCATTCTGTGCTGTATCAACATTATTTTCAACTCTTCCAACTCTGTCTTCTAATCCTTCAACACTTTCCACCACATTGTCCACACGCTCATCAAGTCGTTCTACATGGGCTGCTAGCCCTGAAGAGCCAGCAGTATATCTTCTCTCATCTCCCTATTTTTCTCCTCAAAAAGCTCTGCCATCTCACGTCTAATCTGTTGTGCTGTTTTTTACAAAGCATCCTGTAAATCTTTAACTGTGAGTGCCGGTGGTGGAGGAGAGGGTGGGGGAGATTTTGGTTTAGATTCCTGCACAGTCTGAATTACCAGAGAAGAAATTGAGCCTTTAGGAAGAGAAGAAATTCCAGGGCGTTTCAAAGCCATTTTTAAACTTTTTAAAAAAAGAATAAAAGGAGGGGATAGTTTTTAAAAAAACCAAATCCCCCCCAAATGAGAAAAAAGAAGCTTACTCTTTAAATAAACAAACTCTGTTACATTGTTTAAACTTTTTTGCCGGATGAAAGTGAAAGTTTTTCTTAGCAATGTCTTTTCAGGCAAAGAAATGGCATTCCTCCGCCATTTTTTTCCCTTTCTCCTTTTGTTAAAGTAATAAGAGGAGAAGATGCTTTAATTATTTTGAGTTAAAGTCCCAAACTCTCACAATCTTAATCCTCCTGGTCAGCTCCGTCTGCTTATAATTACTCAGATATCACTTTAAACAGCAGATGTGGAAGCAGTGTCTGGCTTCATTCCAAAGAACAAAGGCATCCTGGGATGTGGAGACAATCCAGACTCCAAGGGAGTTCTCCCCCTTCGTCTTCCAAAAAAAAAAGAAATTAATGAAGAACTAGGGGAACTTGACCTCTATGTGGAAAAGCTCACCTTCTTCCGGGATGACAGGTTCAAGCCGCGGAACAGCTGATGAGTGCTGTCTCTGCCGGCTTTAACGCATTCCCAGGTCGGATAGCTAAAGAAAGCCGCCATCAGTGTGGCAATCACCACCGGAAGTCCACCATTCTAAATCTTAAAGGGGATAGTATTGTACAAAATTAACAAATAATCCTTTAAAAAATGTACTTGGAGATTTCATTTGATTTGTTCTGCTTCTGGTTGTTTGATTAGGGGTTAGTCTGAAACGATAATGATTTTTTTAAAATGTACATATTTAAGTATTTCAAATTGCTTTGAAAATGTGCTTCAAATTTACTTTCTGAAATGCTTGAAAAGAAAGGCACCCAATTAGGAGGCATAAAAGAGAAGGCTCTATTGATGTGCCTGTTAACTCTTCCCTATACTACATTCAGTTAATCAATCAGGTAAGATATTCACTCATTTAACATCTTGGCATAGTCCAAGAAAATAGCATGGTTAATAGCAAGTGATACCCATTAGGATTCAGAAATAGCACATGAAATAGTCAAAATGATATGGAAGTACTCCAAATGGCACTGCCTCTAACAGTAAATAATAAAATTCTGAAATGTATTTGTCATGCCCTGAGAAAAAATCTATAACAAACTAAACTGAGATGTAACCAGTGAGTGATCTTTTCCTCTGTTTAGGACAGGTAGCTGTTTTTCCCCCTACAGGCCAGTGTAACAGCCTGCAGAGGGGCCATTGTACCTGAATATAACAGCAAGTCTATTTTGTCATCAGAGCCAGAGACCAGTCTAGTCTCTCTTGAGGTTCACACTGCAATGTTCCAGTGACCAGACAGCATCATCATCATTAAGATGTCACTAAATATAACTGTGGGCTGCCACCACAGTGGTCTGAAGATGAGACAAAAGCATTGTTCTATAGAAAAGTGGGACAAGAGAGAATTAATTACTCCTAAATTAACTATTTTGAAATTGGGTAAACTTAACTTTTCATAATGAATAAATTCATATTGGTTTCAATGCAACCTGGGGATAATTAGTTAAATCCAATTCTTTCTGTTTAAGCAATAAAATTATTTTTCTAGATGTACATATTTTGTCTAGTTGTAGATTAAGATGGATGGGATAATTTCTGTTTAATAAAATTTTATTTGTTTTCTAGTTTCAGAATATTTTTGCTGAAGAAACCTTGCATGCTGAATATCTACAGCAATTAGATGTTGTTAGCTCTCAACCTGGAACACATCTTCAGCCACTTCATCATTCAACAGAATCCAGATCATTCTCAGATTTAGCATCCAATGGTTTTGTATAGTTCAATAACAAAGTCCTGCAAAGAATTTGATCAAGGCTCTAAGTGGAGAATGAAAATCAGATATTGCACTTAATATGCATGCATATAGAATATGTCATTCAAAACTTAAATGTTTATATGTGGAAGTCGGAGCTATTATTATAGCCTTAAAAGTGTGAAAATGTCAGTGAGAGTATGCACCATTGTAATATAATTGCTGCATCACATTTAGAGCATAAGATAAGGCAAATGGTTTTATTGTTTTAAAAATAAAATGGATAGTCTGAGAATCTTATTTGGAATAGCATAAAAATTTCATACATTACTTCAAGCTTTTTTGAACCTGGTGTTCTAGTCAGAAGAGCAAGTAAAGCATATAGTTTAATTGCGTACTTGCCTATGATTTTCTGTTTCTTTTATTTTACACTTCAGGTTCTAGCACTTTAATAGAAAGATAAAAAAAATGAAATGCAGTTTTAGGTTTTGTACAAGAAATGTCATTGCATTACTTCTTTACAGTTAGCCTAAGTGCCTCACAATGTAGCTTCATTATCTTCAAAAGGCACTTGTAGGAAAGGAGAAGATACTCATTATGAAAACCAATAGTCCGTACTTTATGGCTGTTCTTTTGTTGCTGTAGTTTGTTTGAAAGCGAAGGATATTACTTTAGCTTTCTATTTCTACTAAATATAATTTTGCTTTTTTAGGGCTTCAGGTAAGGCTGCTTGTAAGAGATTAAGATTTTTGATTTTATGTTCAGCTGCTTTTTTGCATTCTTCAGGTAGAACAGGGTAAAATAGGCATCTTGTAGGAGTATACACCTCCTAAAAACTATTTCTGAATTTCATATATTACATAAAAAAACATGTGCCTTATCTTGTGTTGCAATGCTTATTCAGAAGTCTTTTTTTTAAAAAAGCATAACCCTGTTCTATGCAAATAATTCCATTGAAATTGTTACTGAATGGTTAATTTTAAAAATAGTATAAATAATGTTTTAGAAGTAAATACTATTAACTTTTACTTTAGCTAACATTTCTATACCGTGTCACATATTGATTGGCTGCTGTTTCCTTCTGTTTCATTGGGAACAGTCCACTGACATTAAATATCCCTGATGATTGCACTCTGAAAGAAAAAGCTCTTTCTATTTTGCAAATTCACTTTAAATGTCTTTGTTCACCTGATAAAATTTAAAATTTATTTTAATTCAAATGTAGAAAGAAATTATCCTTACAAGAGAAAAGATACTTTAAATTTTGTTTTAAAGTGTAAAAAAACCAAACCCTAGTATTAGGGATTTTTTTTAACCTGAAGATTTTTTAGTAATGTAAGCACCAATGTTTGGTGTTTTGTAATAGTTTAAGTGGGGGCAGGAAATATACATGTACAGGCGAATAAATGCCAATATATGATGTGTAGTTAACATACAATAAGTTCCATTTATAACATTATAAAATACTTTAAAGAAGGTAATTTTAAATTGTTATCCAATGCACATAACATATATTGCATAACTGTATACCGCAAATGACAGAGTAGTGTTGTTGGATTTTTTTTTTTAAATGAAAATTCTGCCTCAGGAGTACGTTCAGATTTTTGATGAAATAACTGTTTCAGTCAAATTTAATGGGAAAAAAATGCATGGAATGTTTTGTAGGTGCGTGACTGTAGGTGAGTTGGTTTCAAGTGATTCAAATGAGCTAGATTTAAAAAAAAAATCCCAAATTTATATAATACAGATCTTCTAGAAAAGATTATTAAGTAATTTGTACAATTTTAAGTTTAACAACTAGCACAACTTTTAAAGAGCTTTAAAAAGTACTTTTTGATTGCAAAGTAAAATCAAGTAACATACATAAATAAATATAATTTTAGAACCATATTGTCTGTAAAGCACTAGAAGCTTTGCTCTGCCCATTTATTAGTTCCGTAGTAATTTAATTATTTCTGAAAATTTCATATGGTCTTGTTTCTAAATGATTTCTATTGCTTTTTTTTTAAAGTACATGATTATTATTACTATTACAAGGATAATGTTAACAATCAGAAAACCTACTTTAAAAAGTCAAGGTTCAAAGGGATAGCGTACTTTTTATATAAAAAGAAAAATGTGGGAACAGCCACAACAAAAAATTTCTGTGTATCATTTCACTGCTATGCCAAATATTATCCAATCACGTAAGTGCCAAGGTTGCAATACAAACTATGTGCTGCCTTATTGTAAGTTAGCTTATGTTATGCATAATATCAGCTGTTTTTCTTCGTTAGGTTGTGCCTATATACAACAAACCTGTGTATTGGTGTTGCACTTTTGATCTACATCATACTCTTAAAAGCAATGAAATTCTAACTTAAAAACATACTTGTCTTCCCCTCATTCCAAAGAAATTATCGCCTAGTTTTAATCAGTATTAGTGCACCCTTTTGTAGATTATGTCTTGACTTTCTCTCTTTCATTCCCCATTCCCCTTTGTCTATGTTTTATGTTATACAATTAATTTCTTCTATGTAAAGTAATAATTTTGTAGTGCTTTTAATGAGCTTTAGTAAAACTTGTAAAGCTTAATATATGGTAATAAAGTATCTCCTAAATACACTGATCCATAAGTTATTTTACAATTCTTGGCTTATCTTATAAAAAAAAATATTAGGGAAAATACAGACATTTGATACTACATTATAAAACTTTGTTTTCAGAAGTGCACCCTACATTAATGTCAGATAAACCACCAAATCAACACTGAACTGTTGTCCCTTCAGAAATTTCTTGCATAAATCCCTTGATCACCGTGGCTACCAACACCAGAATTACTCAGTGACTATAGATTGCTTTCCAATAATAACATGTTTCTGGACACATCAAATACTTGGGATACTCTTATCATTTTATCGACAAAAAATTATAATTACAAGTAGACTTAAGGAGAATGGAATAAATAGAAATAAAGTCAAGGTCTAAGTGTTATTTGCTGCTGTTTAGGTTTGTTTACTGGGCAAGTAGACAACAGTTTTTTGAACCCTTTTCTAAACATCAACCTCAAAATGCTTCATAAAGTTGATGTACATGCATAAAAGTATGTGTTTAAATATTTTTAAGATGCTTTTGAGGGCAATAGCACTGATTCCATTCTAGATTCAATTTAGAAATAGCTACTGAATTTCTACATCATAGACAGTTGTGAGTGTGAAAATTCTTAGGTTGGGACCCTGGTATTTCAGTTCTGAAGAAATATTCTTCAGTGTGTTATCCTATTACTAAAACTCTATTTTACTAAATATTTGGAATAGATAACACCGGCATGAATGGAATTCCTTTCTTGCAATATCTCACCATTAGTTTTAATTTTTTAAATTATAAAATAAATGATTTAAATAGTATTTTTAAGTCAAGTTAAAAATACCAAAGCAATATATGGATTTGCTAGGATAAATATATACCTGTTTTTTTGGTTCTGCACATTATTCTGAGATTTGCATTTAAAATAACAGCCTGAAACAGAAGACGGGATTTTGGGCTCTGAGGGTGGACTTAGTCGTCGATTTTCAACCATTTATTTAGAAATTATTCAGAGTTATAACAGCACTGAAAAAACTGATGTGATTGCTCCCTGCACTTAGAATCACTGCAAGATCCTCACAGTCACCTAAAATTCAGGCACATGTATTTATGATGATTGCAGTCTCCTAGGGTCATATGATTGCCATTTAGGACCTTCCAAGTTGGCTTCTGATAAGCAGGAAGCCAAAATCAGTGATTTGCTTAACAATCATGGCAAAAATGATTGCAAACCGCACATGATTTACTCAAAAATTGCCTTGCTTAGTAATGGAAATTCTGGTCCCAGTGGTGTTCATAAGCCACAAACTACCTAAACAAAGTTTATTAGGATATTTCAGAGTTAAAAATAGCTAGATTCAGAGTTTTGTCACAATCAAACTGAAAAGTGGTTTGGAGGGAGACTTAAAAGAAAAATAAGGAAAGAGATCAAATTTAGAGAAAGACACAAAAAAACAGGGAAGGGAGATGAAAAAAAATTGTAGGGAAAAATAAAGCAACAATCTTTTGTTTGAATCAGGAGACCACTAGGAAACTCTGAATTTGAAACAGTGAAACATCCAACAATTTTTGCCACAATGTTGTAAATAGTAAGACTGACATTGTGGCAATGAATTGAATAGGAAATCTACTCTGTACACCTTGCAAAAAAAAGTGAATTCTTTCATTCCACCTTCTGACTTGGACAAAAATAAATTAAGAAAAAAACCATTTGGATTTAAAGGAACTTGGTAACTAACCACAGACTGGTTTCATTTGAAGAGAATATTTGGTCTGTATTTCAATAGAGATTAATTCAATTCTGATTAATCTGTTAATTATTGCTATTGTAATATTCCTGTTTGTATTTTAGTTTGTTTCAAATAAAGTTTTTTTTTATTGAATCTCTTAAAGTTTGTGCTTTCTAACACCTTCATCCTTTACTGGCCTTGCAGAAACAGCTGAGAATATAGCTTTATTCTCTGCCTAGGGATGTTGGCATAAAGCCTGCAAAAGGGTGATACTGTTAGTGAGATTGACTGCACCCTTCCACAGGTTATGTTGGTCTTTTATGAGTTGTTGGTCTTTTATGAGTTTGGTTAGTTTTGATTGTGTGTGTGTGTGTGTGTGTGTGTGTGTGTGTGTGTGTATAAGCTACCCAGAGTTACATAAATGAGCTGGCTGTTACATAAACAAATGAATAAATAAGTATGCTATTCAAAATTGGTCAGATTTAAAAATATGACTCTAAAAAGGTTGGCTTTAAACATTATTATGGGGATAAATGTTGGAAAAATGCTTTTGTTTTAGATTTATTTATTATTTGTTAAATTTATTTACTGCCTATCTTGCCCTGTAGATACTCTAGGCAGTTTACAATAATAATAAGGAAAAAAGTGAAAGGAGTATAAACAGAAGTAAAATAATAGAACTACAAAATAAACATTGAAAAAGGAACACAATGATAATACATCAATATGATAACCAAAAAGAAGGATGGGTGGAGAGCAGAAAGCAAGGGGGGAAGATGAAGTCTACTGTCAATCCTGCAACCACCTCTAGTGTGGAACTCCCCTGTTTGGTCCCCAGGCAAACCAGCATATTATCTTCCATTTTTCTTTAAATTTAAAGATGTCTTTGTCTTCCATTTTGTTTGTGTATGAATTTTTTGGTCATCAAATATCTTTTATTATGATCTTTGAACAGCCTCCACAGTAAAAAACAGGAACAGTTTGATGTAACAATTCATTTATTGGGAAGAGAAACAAAACAACAGGACAATAAAACTACATAGGTCAGGAAAGGATTGTGTTGGAGCTGAATATGTATTCATAGTGCTCACTGACCTCAAAGGTTATAATGGCTACATATAATATTCCTTCTGTTGTGAAGTATTGTACATAAAACTCAACTGGAAACTAAACAGATAATCCACTTCTAGGAAAATTTGTAGATGAGTCCTTTTGGCAACCTACCCCCAAAACAGAAGTTTGGAAATGGATTGATGTAGAGAGGATCTTTTAAGAAAAGAGTGCAGTATTTTTTATTTTAAAAAAGGCTACACACATCACTCCTTGCATAAAACAGTATTGATAACTCTCTGGTTCTAGCCACCACCACCCAGACACCCCTGCGCACACACACAAACAGAAAAGCCAAGGGAGATAGGGATCATAGTATAGAGTCCCCCCTCCTTTTGGGGGGCTCGGGTTGTCCATCCACTCCAACATATTCGGAGAGGCTTACAAAATCTAGCACAAAGTCAAACAATTTAAAATATTTGGTGAAATAATTGACTTCACTGAAGGTTTTAAAGAAGAGATTGGGCCACCACTTATCTGAGGCAGGGGGTTGGATTAGAAGATCTCCAAGATCCTTTCCAGCTTTGTTCTGTTGAATTATAGCATCCTTGGCAAAATTCTGTTCAAGCAGATCACAACAACCAGACAGAACTACTTGTTAAGTTCTTTTTAATTAACAGATGGGTACCTTAAATAATGCCACCAGTTGATAATCAGCCAAAACGGTACCTGAGACATGGGTAACATTTAACCCCATGTTAACCATGGTATGAGCTTGAATTCATATCTATACTTGATCAAGTTCACCTTTAGTCTTCTCCACCAACACACCCGGCACCTACTTCTGTCACTTCATCTCCCAAAGTTCTTTAATAGACAGAATAATAAATTGGGACCAGTACTATTTCAGAAAGAACGTAGTTATTTACTATAGTTGCTTCATGTCCGTTTGTTCTGTTCCAGACAGAACACATTGCTTTGAGTTCAATCTAAAACAGACAGTTAACTCGATAGAAATGATTTTATAACAAATATTTTATTGTCCAGGAATCCTAAGCAGAGACTTACTACGCTGTAGATGCATCTGGCCTTGTCATATCTGTTCATTCCTATAGGTAAATTGATATTGGATTTTCCCCTCTTCTTGTGATAAGCATCACATGTTGGCAAAGGATCTCCAAGCCGTGTGGCTAGGAGACATGAGACTGGATGAACAAAGGATTCCAATCTGGCTTGTGTCCAGGAAGTCTCCCAATGACCAATGACCTTTTGAAACTCCTCCCACTGATCCATCAACATACCTAGCATTTAATCCAATAACTGCCAGATATTCTAACATACTGATACATGCTCTCTAGTTAGGGTTACATACTGATACATGCTCTCTAGTTAGGGTTACATAGAGCTATGCGAGGTCCAGAACACTCCCTGCTTGGAAATTTATATTTCCACTACTAACTAACTGAAATAGCAAAGAATGTAGCATTAAGGCATGCAATACTCAAAGATAACTAACTTGTGACTAAATAGATAAAAACTTGGTATACAACATGCTTAACTATTGGTAAATATAAAACATGCACGATTATGCAAAAAAATAAGCAAGTGTTACATCAAACAATGCACAAGACAATACATAATTTGAGGTTTGATCTTCTGGTTCAGTTTTCATCAGCAACAGGAACAAATCAATGATCAGCCTGGTACAAGTGTTTTTGAGTCACGACCTGACTCACGTGGCTTCATGATCTGGACCTCAGCTGGGCAAACTAATTCATCAAGTGGGTGGGCCCGGGCATAAGTCCCATGGGCCAATAGTTGTGGTATGCATACTTGTCTTTCAGTGAGACAAGGTCTTCTTCCTGTAAAGGAAACTGGAACCAAATCTGGAACAGAAAAACTGGAACCCAAAGTTTTTCGGGAACAAGGGGAACTGGATTCACAAGATACTCAGGAACTGAAGAACCTGGAAAAACATGAGCAGATGGATCTGAAAACACAGGAATAGCTGGGGCTGAAGAATCAGGGTCAGGAACATCTGGAAACTCAGGAACAGCTGGAGCTGGAAGCTCAGGAACAACAGCTGGAACTGAGGAATCAGGAACAACAGCTGGAACAGAAGACTCAGGATACTCAAAAACCGAAGGGTCTGGAACCACTGGTGGAGTATTGAAGAGGACTGCTACTGTTGTCGTCAGGGTAGTGAGGACTTCATGTGTGGGTGTGGGTGTCTTTAATGACAAGGAGTCCATGAAAGTCAGTAAGTCCTTGCAGGCTCCTACAAAGCTAATTCTTGGGATGCTAAGACAAGTGATCAAGACGATCAAAACTATGCCTAATCTCAGGTGCTTCCGCTTAGATAGGGGTTTGAAGTGGATTGGTTGATGCTTATTGGGTGTCTGAGGTTGAAAGTTGGCACTTTAATCTGAAGCTGGAAGTGCATAATGTTTTGGTCTCTGTGGCATCTGTCTATTTGGACAGGCCAAGAACTCAAGACTTTCTAGTCAGATCAATTCTTTTAACTGTGTGGCAAGGTTGGACCACTTCACTTGGTTAACAAAGTTCTTATTTGTTGCCACATGTTGCCATTGTTCAGGGCTTAAAGATGTTTCAATCCTTTTCTCTCTGTTGCTTACATGGACGTAGAAGTGTCTGCTTTGTTTGCAGATGTAGCTTGACATCACCTTGCTGTCTGCATAGAAGGTGGTAGACTGTAGGTCAAGGCACAACATCTTCACTGTCAAGTTGGTGAGCTTTACAGCCAATGTCGTACCACATAGCTCTAACTTTGGTACGGTGTGGCCTTCTTGCATTGTTAGTCTCGCTTTCCCAAAGAAGACACCGAGACTACAGCACTTCCCGCTGTAGACTCTGATGCATCTTATGGTTGCAAACAAGATGACGTAAGTGTGGCTCTCCCCGCTGTAGAGTGAGACGTATCTTAAGGCTGTATTCATCTTTGTAGACACATTTAAGAAAGCGTACAATTCTTTCTTCTGCACTATGATGGGTGAGCTGGAGACATACGTGCGCTGCACTTGCATGCTTTGGAGACATCTTGGGAGTACGCTCCATGACTCCCAGTCTTGAAGACATTGTTTGTCTTGTTTGTCCTCTATGGACAAGGCTAAGTTGTTGTAATTGTTGCTTGTCTGGAACACTGTTGCTTCCAAAACAGGTTTGGTAGTCACACGCGTGCAGTGTTCTAGATGTGGTTTTAGGTGAGATGCTGTTCCATTACTGGGAATGGAGATTTTTGAGATGCTCACCTGGGTTGGGGTTTGCGATTGGTCAACACAGACTGTCCCTCCTATGGCCCATCTGAGTTCCGTCTTAATGGCTATTGGGATTCCTGGTGGACCTTTGATTCTTTCGTCAGAGTCAATGGACTCTGGGGCATCTCTTCCCACCATGAGTAGGATTTCAGCTTCAGGATCTAGAGGAGGGATTAAATTGGCTATGTGTGCTAACTGAGGTATTTTTATTGCTGCCTCTGGTGTTGAGATTTCGCTGCGAACATCTGGTAAGGTCTCCCATTCTAATACTGATGGTAACCAGAAATGTGAACTTCCATCTATCGCTTCTATGCATAGACCAGTGATTTTCCTCCCCGCCGTGCGCATTGGTACTGTGCACGTATTTATTGCAAAATGCTTCAGTTCACTCGGGAGGTCAAAGAGATAAAAAAGGCGGGCTTGGCTATAGTTACTTTGCTGTGTGGGTCTAGTATGGCGTACATCTTTACGGCCCTTTCAGGTTGCCCATCGGGGTAGACTTTTGCAAGACAGATGGGTGAGCATGAAGGAGGGCATGGTGAGTTGCAGCATATATCTGTGTAGTACATCCCGTACTGTTGTGGGTGCTCTTCAGAGTCAGTTTGAGTCTCCATCGTTGAAGTTGCTTGTTGTGTCCCTTCAGAGGGCTTCTTAGTTTCTAGATGCAAGGCTGCTGGGTGCTTGTTACTATCACACAGGTGGCATTGCACCCTGACTGCACAATCCCTGGCCATGTGATCTATAGAATCACAGCATTTGAAGCATATCCTATGTTCTTTGAGTAGGGCCTTTCGATCCTCTAGGGCTTTTTTCCTAAATTCTCTGCAA